TATAGATTTATTGTTACTACTGCCTATGGATTTATTGATCTTGCATATAGATTCACTGTTGTTACTGTTTCTGCACTGTATTGACTGCTGCGTGGATTCACTGTTAGAATAGATTGAGATTTATCGTACTGCTTTTCTCGTTTGATTTCATTGAATAGATAGTATTGATTAGGCCGCATTGATTTGATTTGATAGCTATTGATTTGACGGATTGATTGAGTTCCTATTGTGTACGGATTTCTTCGAGATTGACATGGATTTATTGAATTGATTTATCGATTCGTCTGCCGCTGCATTGACTGGTTTTATTGACTATGGATTTCCGTATTGCATGGACTCATTGACCATTGACTGATATGGATTTGATTGACTGACATGCATATTGATAGCATAGCCGTGCTTTGATTTCAGTTATAGGTATTAGGTGATCTGCTGGGCTTTGTAAAGCTCATTATATGTGGTTGATATTTTCAGGTCAGGGCAAGGGAGCAGAAGATAGGAATTGGTCCGGTTCTACAGGTTTTGTCTTTTGATGATTGATTCTTTTGTACTCAGGATAGATTTCAGTACTGGTGATTGTAGTGTAGTTCCTGAGTACTGTACATGACCTTTTGAGATATGAATCGACTTGTATATTGATGTTTTAAATTTTATATAGATGTAGATGGACTATTTAATTGAAGGTTTTAGATAACTCTGGTAAATTGTTTGAGAAATAGATTGACATTCTTTCCAAGTTAGATCTTGGGGCGTAACACTGGTTGGTGGTGGAGGAAAGAATCAGAGAAGCAAGGGATTCTTGATCTGCCATGGAAGAGCCTGGCGCTCTGATACCATGCAAGAAACCGAGAGACAAAGAATAGAAGGGAAAGAGTTTTCACAATAGAGGAAAGATATGAATTATTATTATTAAAGCTTGAGTACAGAAGTCTATTTATAGAGTTTAAAAGAAAGGAAAACATTCATAATTACAAAGAAACCAAATGAATAATGACGTGGAAGCTATCCTAAGAGTTTGAACAGTAATGAATCATTGTTTAAAGATGTTCCAAGTAGACAATATGATATATAAAGGAATTTTGACTATATAGTATATCTGTAGACAATAAGATTTAGGTTTGATCACCTCCTTCCTCCTACATTCCATCCTCTCCATAAAAATCAAATAAATAATATTACTAATGTTAAAAACTAATCGATACAGATAGACCATTATTATGAAAATTCATCAAAAGTCAATCCAGTGAATAATAACCTCTAAAACATTACTTATTTTGGCACTTAATTTTTGATAAGTTTGATTATGTTTGATATTATGTAGATGATATTAATGAAATAAACATGAAAGTTTATATGATTCTTTTGTATGCTTAATAGAAATAGTACAAAAGTAGTTGTAGTTTTGATGATGAGAAACTAATTGTTGATGCCAGTTTGAAAGATCAGAAAGAGAACTATACATAATCAATTATTTTGTAAGATTTTTTGTAAAGTTGATAGAAATAGTACAAAAGTAGTTGTAATATTGATTGGAGAAATTAATTGCTGCCAGTTTTTTAGGGGAAATTATTAGGTTCGGACATCGGATATAGCTTACCGTTCAGTACTTCATAGTACCGAGCAGTAATGAGCTTGGTACTGTGAAGTACTGAATTCGGTACTTCACAGCAGTACTTCACAGTACCAAGCAGTATTGAGCTCGGTACTAAGCAGTATCAAGCTCAATACTGCTCAGTACCGAGTAGAGAATGATGTGACACATTTTTATTGGGTTTTGATTGAGTTCGGTGTCCGAACCCAATATTTTCCCCAATTTGAGAGATCATAAAGAGACTATACATGATCAAAATGACATCACATGCATTCATAACATCACATGCATGCATGCCAGTGATAAGACGCCCACTATTCATATTATAGGACTGCATGTTTCTTTCGTTTTGTGCATTGGAGGAATGAACATATACATAAACTAAAAATTTTTTAATAAAAAATTTTCTTAAGAAGCAGCAAGAAAGCCATTTCAATATATATATATATTAAATTTTTTGCATTTAAAAATTGTTTTAAAAAATAATAAGAAAGTCATTCCAAACGAAACCTTAAACACTAGTGGCATAATTTCTCTATAAGATAAACTTTTTATAATATTAGATGGTACCTTTTCTATGTTTTTTTAACTAATCTAAAATTTGCGCAATGAAAAAACTTGGTTAAGTGCCTTGATGCTTGCTAACTAGGGAAAAAGTCCTGCTAAAATTGAAAATCTTTAGAAGTTATGGGCGGATCCTAGTATAGCTCAGGGTGGGTATTAAAAAAAAGGTTTATATGAGAATAAATTTGGACTTTTGTCCCCTATAAAAAAATATATTTTGCCAAAATATTCCTCATCGTGCTTAGGGAGAAGGAGAGTGTAGCGGGCTCATGTTGCCTTGCTCGAGAAGTTGGACCCCCTGTCATCGTCGGAGTTACAGTGGCCGGAGAAGTTGAAACATGATTGCATTTCGAATGTTAGGTCGCTCGGAGAAGAAGAGTACTGAAAAAACTTGCTTTTTATCGATAGAAGAGAGCATGAGAAAAGATTTTTAAAGTAATAATAAACAAAATCTTTTAAAAGCCCAAGACACATTAAGCAAAAAAACGATAGCCACATGCTTTCATTAAATGCAAAATTAATGCTCTGCATTTTTTTTAAACAGTGTTTTTCAAAAAAAGTTTTTGTACCATGCCTCAGAAGTTTTTTTTTTTTGTGGCTATTTCATTTTTGGATTTATGATTGATAAGAAAGCAATTCTTAAACTCATTAAATATTATGCATACTTTATAATTTATTTATTCCTTTTTTTTCCTTAAGATGGATAACATTATGTTTATTTATTATCATTTTCTCTCACTTAGAGTATAGCTTAAGCATAACTTACATGATTATACTCCAACTTATATTAAAATCAGGATTATATTGAAATATAAATGATAAAAATTTTCTCTTATAATTTTGATAGCACTATATTGGTTACTTTTTAAAAAAAAAAATATTTTATCATTATTACTATTTGATGTTATTACCTTAAAAAAAGAAGTTGGATCCGCCCCTAGTACTTAGACAATATAATAATAAAATGATAAATGAAAAAAAATATATATAGAACAAACAGTGACAACAAAAATACATAATGATAAATGAAATTAAAAATAACTAATACTGATAATCTAATAATCTAGAAGATTGGTACCAGATCTTTCAAGACTACTAAAATATTTTTCAAATGAATTGGATGCAGAAGATGATTGTTGATCTTATTGTTATTTAAACCTCTTTTGTAAAATTCGTGCTTGTTCAGCTTGAATAAATTCACGAATGCTAGAACTTTGTATGGAACTCAAGTCCTACATCAAGATTTTATGTTCTTCATTGAGTTCTTTCAAGGCATAGTTCTTACTTTAGAGCTATAAGTGGTATTATCTCTATGAGCATGAGTAAGAATGCTCGAGCCGAGTTTAAGCTTGTTTGCTGGGCTCAACTATAGCTCAAGCTCGAGTTCAAGCTGTTTATTTGAGTGATGAGTCGAGCTCGAGTTTGTTGTAACTCAAGCTCGAGTTTGTTATGATCCGAGTTCAACTCGACTTGTTTACACCCCTAGTAGATATATATGAGTGTGCACAAATAAACATGCATTGGTGCACATGAGAGTGCATAGCTACACAAGTGAACCATGGGAGTACATAATTGCGTAGGCACAAGTGTGCGGTAGTTCATATAAACATTCATGTGTGTGCACACAGGTGTACATGGGCGGATCCCCA